TTCTGTCCACTCGTATTAGCTTACCCCAGCAGATGATATTGTGCAGTTACTGTTTGTGTCTTTCACATTGCCCCGTCCCTCAGATTTTAGTAGTTTGTACAAGCAAAAACACCCATCTAAGTGCAATTTCACCCTGAGGAAAATAATTCACATTATAAAGGGCATAGCACAGCAATCTGTAACAATATGTAAAGTAAATGCTGACTCTAAGCTACAGCTAATTCCAGATTTACTTAAAATGTCAGGTCAATTTGTACTAGCAATTTTCATCTTTGTGTGAAGCCAATTATAGAACGTTTAACAATAAATTCTGCTGTACATGTAAATGTCTTTATCAACTAAATGATGTAAAACTTTCTTAAAAGTAATTTTAGTGTTTGCTTATTTATAACTTCTACCCTGTGATTTCCAGGATATTGGAAGTGATTTACTGTATCTTGTGCTATATCACTTTTAACAAATTCTAGTCTTCCTGCTGAGAGAGCACTACTTGAGAGAGATGTCACAAAGTTTCCAAAAAGCCTTGATTCAATCAGAAGAAAGGAAGCTTGAATTGTTTGTTCTTGGTGCCTTGCAGAGAGACTCAGAGCAACTCTCCATTGTAGCTTTCACACGGTCTGTGCGTCACATCCAAGGCAACCACAGCTGTGGTAGGGCCTGGTAAAAGACTGAAGATTGGTACATTGGTGCTTTGATGAAAAGGTCAGTTGGCTGGTCCCTCTCTCAAACAGCTTATTACGCCCCAAAGCCAACTTTGTAACATACTTAAAACTGCTATTTTCGCTTATTTCTGGAAAGTAAAAATGTATAAAAATAAAAGAGTTAGTGTATGCTTCCTGAATAAAAAGGAGCCAAAGTTGATCAAAATGCTGGTGTGCTTCTTTCTGGAGAGCAACCTAGTAGCAACACTTTGGGTCTTTGGACAAGGGAAGTGATGGTTGCACAGAATAGTTCAGTCACAGCACACATGGATAAATGTAATGATTTAGCAAATAGGAGAAGAATCTGTCACTCGTCATGGTTTTTGTTTGCTTTGTGTTTTTTTTTCTTGTATGCCAGCATTCTGACTTATCAAATCTTTGGCTGTTTATTTTTATGTGGTTTTATTGTATCTCAATGAATCAAGTAAAACCTAGCAATAAAAGAAATGAATATTACAATATTGATAGGTAACTCCAGAGAAGTGATGGTAAGGACTCCTAGGTTGTTTGTAGTGTCCTTTTAAAAAAGATTTATTTTTTTATAATGTGTGTGGGAGGGAATTATATGCATGTGAATGCATATGCCCATGGAGGACAGAGGTGTCAGATGGGGCTGACAATATAGGCACTTGTCAACCTTCTGCCATGGGTGCTGGGAACTGAACTCTGGTCCTCTGGAAGCACAGTATGTGCTCTTAACCTCTAAGCCAGCTCTTCAACCCCCATATGCAGGGTTCATGTTTGGTTTGTAACTGGTCCACACCACAATGCATAGTAAATTCCATTTTGCTTTCCTACTCCTTTTTCTACTTTATACTAAGAAGATAGAGTAAAATGTGTATTTAAAAATACAGATTACCTTTGATACATGGACCTCTTTCCTTCCATGCACCTGCATTGACTAGCACAGGACAGCATCTGCTTTGCACCCTTTTCCGTAGTGTATATACTTTATTCGTTTGGTAGAAGAGATGTACATTTTATTTTGGTGTCTAATACTTTAGTAGAAACAGAACTAGGGTAGAACTTTCATAGATTTTGTGATTATAACTATTTTTTTACCTGCAAAATTCACTCCCATCTTGGAAAGTTGTGGTTCAGGTAGTTAGAACACTGTGTCTTTGGTTTTCTGGATGACAAGAGATGGTTTTTAGAGATAATGAGATGTGAAAAACTTGGTTTGCTTGTCTCTTTATATGTTTTACTCCAAGATGATTTTTGTTGTCTTGGAGGAAAGTGGTATGAAATCAGAAGTCAGATTTGTTTATAAAAGCCTAATGGAACAGATTAGTTACACTTGAGGCTCTGTGATAATTGGATAAATTATATAGGAACTGGGTTCCTGATTTTGGTGGACCAGATAACTTGGTAGATAGAGCAGCTTTAGTATTGATGTGGAGAAATCAGCTTGACAGGAATAAGCTGCTGACAACCTTGCTGTTCCAGTTTTCCTTTTATTTGGTCCTTGCATTTTCCTTCTCTTTGAAATAGAAGTGATTTTTAGCTCAGGAACTTTGCTATAAAACTTGACAGAATATGAGTGCTTCCAAGTTTTATTTGTATTAAATGTAACCTGAAAACTGTATATGCATATGTGCTTGTCCTCACAGAGCCACTCTTTAACACCTACCCCCCTTGATTGCAAGAGTGGAAATATCATCCCATTAGGTGCATTTGTTTAGTAGTATTCAGTGTGTTTACTTTGCTATGAGTAACCCTTGCAGTAGGTCCTAAATAAAGGACTCTAATTACAGTTTTGGTTCTTCAGCATACCCCTTTCCCCACATAAGCAGGTACAAAATTGAAAGTTTGAGTCTCAAAAAGGCACCTTGAAAATATGTTTTAACTTTCTTGTAATTACATGTGGACAAGGCAGGCTTTGTTAAAAATTGTAAAGAAGAAAAAGGGGTAATTTGTATAAAATGTTCCAATGAGTGTCTAGGTAGCTTTGGCTATGTCTATGTCAGCTTCGTTCTTAAGGTTGTAAAAGGATTATCCCACGAGAAATTCATGATGGTGTTTCTCAGGAGATGTACAAAATAAAATATTACTAAATCAGCCTGTTCCCAGTCTCATGCTAAATTTTTCAAATAGCAATATTATCCATATTTAATGTGCCCAGCCAAAACAGGGTGAAAAAAGTTAATTCAAACACCAAATAAAAAAATGAATGGGGTTCACTTTGAAACAGAAATGGACTTGAAAGGGAAATATTAAGTTTATTTGAGGACCTTAGTCCTAAGCGGAACAATGCAATTTACATGGCAGATTGAACTCCCCCACAGTGAGGTCTAAGTACCCTTCAAGGATGACTGGGGTGCATGCATCTTTTCCTTCCATCTATTAATAAGACACAGCATGTTACTGTCGTATTCTCTTTAAAATGAGACTAGTTGCTCCTCAGAGAAGAGCTCACTTGCATTTCAACGTGATGTCAGAGGATACCTACCCTCACAAACTTACACAGAATTTAAACATTTTATGCATGTGTTGTGTGCCTGCCTGGGTGTATTTTTGTGCACCATCTTGAGTGCAGTACTCATGGAGGCCTGAAGAGGGCATTGGATTTCCCTAAGTACAGGAGTTAGAACAGTTTTGAGCAACCCAGTGTGGGTCCTGGGAACTGAAACAGGGTCCTCTGGAAAAAGAGCAAGCATTCTTAACTGAGCTGTCTCTCCATCTGTCCCCTACCTCCCTATTATTTTCTTTGAGGTGGAGTCTCATTATGTAACTGCCTCGCCTGAAACTTGCTCTGTACACCAAGTTGCCTTCAAAGTCAAGAGATCCATCTGCCTCTGCCTCTCAGATGCTGGAATTAGGCCTATTATAAACATGCCCCACTAAGCTAGAGGATTTGTAAGAGGTGGCTTGTCAAGATAAACAAGTTAGAGCTTAGTCACTGAGCATACTAGTAAGAAAACCTATCATCATTTCATTCTTTGTTCATTGCCTACAATGTACACTGAATTTATGTTAAAATGTTTGAAAAACAGTAACTCTGTGAATGAAAAGTTAAAAAAAGGTTTGCTAATATAGTACTGGCTGTCTATTTCCAGAAAGCATTTTGCTTTTGTTGTACTTATTTTTAAAAGGGAAGATAAATAGATAGGAAATCCCTAAAAAAAGTTAATAAAAATGTGAACTAAATTTTAAGGTTATTTTTTATTTACAACTTTTGAAAATGTACAGTTTTTACATGGGTTACTTGTGCAAAGTTAGAAGTGCTATAAATGCATAAAAGATTAACAATTAAAATATATTAGACAAAACATTTACAAGCCTTGCCCCATACTGTATATTTAAAAGTGTAAATATCCAAAGGAAAATTGCAGATATGGGCAATAAGGTTCTCAAAACACTGAAAGCATGCAGCAATAACTCAGGATTTAAATGAGAAAAGTTTGCAAGAGATAGGCTCACTTCCTTGAGTCATAAAAAGAAAAGTTTATTTAGGGCAATACTGTTCCTTTAAAAAGATTTGAGGATCTTCTGGTTCCTAACTTAAAAACAATAGCTTCGGGGGCTGGAGAGATGGCTCAGTGGTTAAGAGCATTGCCTGTTCTTCCAAAGGTCCTGAGTTCAATTCCCAGCAACCACATGGTGGCTCACAACCATCTATAATAAGGTCTGGTGCCCTCTTCTGGCCTGCAGACATACACACAGACAGAATATTGTATGCATAATAAATAAATAAATATTTAAAAAAAAACAATAGCTTCTAGTCCTGTTCTCACACCTCTAAAAAGCACAAAGCTCCAAAGGCCCGGATTCTGAAACATAATGCATTTGCACAATGATTATCTTACAAAAAGTGGACTATGTCAGTTATTAAAGTTGCTTCCATTTGTTAGCTAGGTCCTTTAGTCCTTGCTACCAATAAGTGCCATCTTGTAATTCATATTGCTTTACAATGAGTATAGAATCCGTTTTCCTTCCCCTTTAAGATGTTTACATGGATGCATTCCTGTTTTCTTTAGGTCATATCCTAAATACATTCTTTGCCAAATTGAACACAAGGAAAAACTGGCCAGGATGAAACACAGCAGCAATCATTTAGTTACAAATAACATTCTGGTCACGGGTATACACAACAGTTTCTCTTAAAAGCTTAGTATAAAAAGTACAGTAACCTGATAACTGCTTAGAGGCTGGAGGATGGAAATGAGATACAACAAAGGGACATATGCAGTAGTAATGTTTGCAAGTAACCCAGGTACAGTACATTGGACTTCAAATGGAATCTCTGATGCTCCACAGGAGGACAGAAAGGGGAAGAAAAACTTGGCAAGGGAAGACAGAAACAGCACAACAGCTATTTTGTTTTTAATAAAGTAAATGTAATGAATTAGGAATAGGAAGCAGATGAATTCATCAATATACATTTTTCTTATGGCCAGCCTCTTCGTTTGTTCTACCCTGAGTCAACAGTCACGCCAGCTTTGTTCTACTATTGCAGAAACACGCTTTTCATATTCCCGCTTGTTCTCCTGGTACAGCTGGGCAGCCTGGCTGTTGGCTGGACTATTGGGATTAGGTTCATCCAATAGAGACTACAGAGAAAAGAGAAATATCAGTTCCCTAATGCAACAAGACAAAGAAATTGTTGAGAACAGCTATTTTATCAATGACTGTCCCAAATAATAGTTAATTTTTCCATCTTTCACATACTAACTTAAAGTAACCGCAACTAGTTCAGGCAAATACACATGCACATACACATATTTCCTGAAGACTTGTATTTTAATGGTCTGCTCCCTTATACAATAAACTTGATCCCAAAATTTAAAAGATCAAAATAATCACTAATGTAAAAGCATCAAAGATTGTAATCACATTAAAGGGGGAAAAAATCACCTGTATGGATGTTAAAATGGAAGACACATCATAAGTTGGACTCCAACGGTTCTGAAGTATATCCAGACATATACTACCATCTGCGTAGACTAAGAACACAGAAGTAGGTATGTTAAACATAAGACTACTAAAGTTTAAGCATATTCAAGACAAAAATGCTCAAGAATGCTTTTGAAGTTTAAAGTTTCCTAGTTAACTGTCTAAAAAGGTGTCATAATCATTACTAGGGAAATAAGGTAATCAGAAAATAGCATGGTATAAAACTGGAGGGCAGTGCTTATTCTGAAGAAACTGTCCTGTTCAGAATGTCACACATATTTCCTAGCAGGTTATCTTTCCATAGAATTGTGGGAAGTTCAGCCCATCAAATCTGAAAATTATATATCCTATTTGTAACAGCTAAACATTCACAAAGTTTTATTTTGGCATAAAGATAAAAGTCTTAACACCATGAAAAAATATTATTAGAAAAAAAGTAAAAGACAATCTTGTAGACAAGTAGCAGCACTTTTCCAACAAACAGTGTCAGATCCTTTAACAGAATCTGGTGTTTGGTGGGTCTGAGTATTGAAAATGTTTCATAGTAATTCTGATTTGCACCTGAAGTTGAAAAATACCTTTCTGAGTGCTAGTGAAGAGAATTACAAAATACACGGTTACCCTAATTTGGCCTATCATTAAACAGGAGCCCCCCCTCAAAGCATTCTTATTTTTTTTAGTGAGTAAATAACAAAGATTATAAAGGCAGCAGGCTGTTAAGTCTCCAAGCAAAGGATGGTACTATCCTCTTGCATTTCCAGGACTATAGATCAATACAGTAAAAGAACATGAATTCCAATTTCCAGAGACAGCAAAATACTTGTACTTCACATAAGCAACAGCATTTGGAATTACCACCATAAAAAGCACTGTAGGACCGTACAAGAACATGTTTAAAATATTTGCCATAAAAAACAAAACAAACAAACAAAAAACAGGCACTGGTAGGGCACATCTTTAATCCCATCACTTAGGAAGCAGAGGCAGGTAGATTTCTGTGAGTTAGAGGCCAGCCTGGTCTACAGAGCGAGTTCCAGGACAGCCAGGGCTACACAGTGAAACCCTGTCTCAAAAAAAAAATGAATACAATAAAATACTTGCCATTAGGATGGAACATCTTAGAGACAAATCTAACAGTAGGTGGCTTATTCGGATATTCTTCAGTAAATTCAATTGTAAGTTTAAATGTTCCTGTAGTTAAAAAAGGGGGAATAGGACATCTTATTTATTACTTTTTTCACATGTACTTTGTTTTTAATGCTTTCTGAATATTTTTAATCATTAAGTGAAATAACATAAGGACAGGGATATAGTATAGAGAAGAGACTAGTTAAGAAACATCTCAAGGAACCACCACCGAAAGGTATTTTAGCTATTTTCCCATTATTCTCCAAAATTAAAAGACAGTCACCATAAACAAAATTGCTGTTTGCTGTATGATAGTCACTATGCACTTTGAACATATCCTTCAAATGATAAATAAGGTACTGAGCCCCAAATTTGACCTTTCTCCTTTAGACTAAAAAGAACTTAGGACTAGAGATACAGTTTAGTATGAGAGCACTTGCCTATTATACAGGGGGCCCTAGTTTTAACATCCAGTACCCCCGCAAAGCCTCAAAGGCCTATGGCAATCAGGCATTACCTTAAATTTCTCTAGTAGTCCCCAGTATACTAGGACAAAAAGGTTCCAAAAGCATTGCTAGAAATGCAAATCCATAATTAACAAATAAAATGGAACACAGAGAAAAATGTTCATTGGTTTCTTTTCATGTAATAATGATTATAATGAAAATTTAATTGAATTTAAGCCAGAACAAACTTTGCAGTGCCTATCAAAACCCTCACGTTTGACTCAAAATACTCCACTAAAATATCAATGCAATCATTCACATTAGTGGAGAGAATAACAAAAGTAGCCTACACTTTAGAGTATAACTTACCTATTAATTCCTTTAGAACTAGCAATTTATTTCCTGTTGACTGTCATTAATAGGTTTATTCCTACTTAAGAAAAGAGAATACCATCTTTCTACTGCTATATCTGACACATAACAATATCAAAAATTTGATTTTCTATTACCAACCTGATCTTGCTATGAATATGTCACAAAATTCTAGACTAATTTAAAATACAATATGGGGGCTTGGCAAGATGGCTAAATAGGTCATGGCATTTGCCACTAAGCCTGACAACTTGTGTTTGATTACCAGAATGCATGAGGTGAGAGAAGTGACTTCTACCAAGTTGTCCTGTGATTTCCACATGGGTACCCACAACCATACAAAAACTAAATTTAAAAAGAAAAATGCTACAAAGTCCTCATACACGGGAGGGAGGGAGGGAGGGAGGGGGGGGGGAGGGAGGCAAGGAAGGAAGAAAGGAAGGGAGGGAGGAAGGAAGGAAGGAAGGAAGGAAGGAATTGCTTTTTTTAAATATGACACTGAGAGTGTAGCTCAATAAGAGCATTTTGTTTAGCTCAGTCCAGGCCCTTGGTTACATCCACAGCACCATAAAAATAGAAGTAAATAAAATGTAATTGCAAAAGTACATTCCCCAGCTGGGCAGTGGTAGTGCACGCCTTTAATCTCAGGGCTCGAGAGGCAGAGAGACAGGTGGATCTGTGAGTTCGAGGCCAGCCTGGTCTACAGAGCAAGTTCCAGCACAGGCTCCAAAGCTACAGAGAAACCCTGTCTCAAAAACCCAAAAAAAAGTACATTCCCCAAACTACTGTCACTCTGGAAACTGTTTTCTTTTTGAAGGCCATATGTAGATACTATATAAAGAAGCTTAAGGGAACAAAACAGTAAGGAATAGGCATACTTCACGCTTATAAATTTTCCTTTAGGTTCTTATTGTTTGAGAAAGGGTCTCTCTGTGTAGTCCTGGCTGCCCTGAACTCCCTAAATAGACCAGGCTGGCCTTGAACTCATAGACTCATCTGCCTCTGCCTGGAGTGCTGGGATTAAAGGTATGTGCCACCACCACCCGGCAAAACTGGACTGACTAAATAGCACACAGAGACCCCAGCTACCCTGAACTAAACCATCATTAAGTGTGATACCCAAAGGCGGAAAGAAACACCACAATGGGTTTAAGAGAACAAGCTCAGGGCTAGGTTCCCAACACACACATGAAAGCTCAGGAGATCCCATGTCGTTTTCTAGCCTTTAAGGGCAATAGGCACACACATGCTACACAGACATATGATAAAACACATACATATATTGTTGGTGCTGTATTTGACTAAACCAAGTTTTTCATGTGCAAAAGAAGGCTAATAGTATCTATTGCAACACTGTTGTGAGGCTTAAGTGTAGCAAATGTGTATAGTCAAAGTTCTTCATAAATGAACAATTACTTTACCTGTAATTCTGCCTCACATATCTAGACCTGGCTGAATGAGAGAAAAATCCAAACTCTGAACTTTACTACCAGTCAGAAACACATAAGTAAATTCAATTATTAAGTAGCACTAATTTCCTGTCACAGAACAAACACATATATTCATAGGTTAATTATATATGCAGCCGGTTCAAATTCCTTGGCTAGAGCCTTCGGCCTAACTGTGGTCTGAAAGAAGAACAAGAGGCAGTGAATCCAATCTTTGTAAAAGCTTTAGATACCTTTATAAGTGAAACAACCAATTTATGTTTACTTGATTCATAAATTGACTTACCCAAATATTATACAATGTATACATTTAAAAGGCAACATTCCTTTCAATTACATTAAATAAGCAGAGCCTCTTCAGTGGAACCCTCAATTGCAATTCATGAGATCTAAACAAATTTAAGGCAATTAAAAAAAAATCATAGGCTATTAAACAATTTCACACCAGAGCTCACCTTCAGAAGGCTAGGCCTTCAACATAATGAAAGATTAGACCTCATCATTGTACACAATCTTCACTGATTTTTCTGATTTTTTTTATCTTTCTGAAGAGGCCAAACCATTTTTAAGTACCAACACAAATAAACATGGAGGCCAGAAAAAAATATATAATGTGTTAAATGTCTAGTATATCACAATAAAACTGACATGGTTGAATTACATAACAGATTCAATGTTTTTGAAAATTCAAAGAGTCAGGCCTGATGGCCTATGTGGCACAAACACCTCTAATCCTAGCACCTGGGAGAGGGAGGCAAGAGAATCAGGAACTTCTTAGGTTCCTCTGGTCATCCTCAATCGTATATTTAATCTGAAGTGATATATTTGAGACCCTGTCTCAAAAAACAACAAACAAGACAAAACAAAAAACAAATTACATATGGGGGAGGGGGAAGATGGAAGGAAAGAAGGAGAGAGGGAGGGAGAGAGAGGGAGGGAATAAAGAAAAAGCAAGTGCTATTGTCAAAGAAAACTTTTCTGCTCGTTTCTTGTCATTTGATTACTAACTTAGGAGCCTGAAGGAAAATTACATGTACTTAAATCTTTTTGATGACTAAAAGAAAATTCTTTATTACTCTTAGTGGACTTTAAGAGATACCTTTTAGTCAGGCAGTGGTGGCGCACACCTTTAATCCCAGCACTCAGGAGGCAGAGACAGGTGGATCTCTGTGAGTTGGAGGCCAGCTTGGTCTACAAAGTGAGTTCCAGGACAGCAAAGGCTATTACATAGAGAAACCCCATCTCAAAAAAAGAGATACTTACTTAAAAAAGATATACACACTCAAATTCTTAAGGTCACATATACGTTAAAAAGCAACTGCAATTATCTCAATAATTTTGGACCTGATAAAGAATATATCCCATAACTTTTGTATTTAGCTTATATATAAAGATATTTCAACAAAGTTTTCCTTACAATATTCTGGTAGTATAAGTTTTCCAGAACATATTTATCTCTTTTTAAATATGTGAAGCTAAAGCAAACTGCCTTTAAAATTTTCTTTTCTCAGAATTTCCTCTTTTTAACTAGGACCTGATTCAGAAACCTCTATCAAGGAATAAACAAAAGTTGTGTAAGGGCTTTTAATTTGAAAACACATTGGACACAGCAAATCAGCTGTCACTTATCTCCTATCGAATCTCTTCCCTAGTTATAAAGTCTCCAAATGTAATTAAGAGTAATAAAAAAATGGTCAGAATTTGTTTTTGCCAGTCAGAATTCTAAACACCAGAAGAAGCATGCATATATACTAAAGTGTTCAACAGAATCAGAGATGGGTACTGTCATTTAGCTTAACTCCTTTCAGCAATGCCAAGTTACAGATAGTTGTACACCATCAAAAACAAAGGCAGTAATGTCAAAGGCAGCAGTCAAGGTAGATAATGGATTCCACAGTATCTTTTCAATTTACACTACTTTAAACATCAGGAGCACCCTTTAAATTTGAAGTAGCCTGTTTCTAGCAAAATGATGTGCTATTAATAAGCTGTGCCTAGGATAAAATAGTCTGAGGAAAATGAGGGGAGGCAATGAAAATAAATCCCACTATACCACTGGTTCTCAACCTGTGGGTCATGGTCCATTTTGGAGGGAATCAAATGACCCTTTCACAGGGGTCACCTGAGAGCATCAGAAAATACAGATATTTACATTATAATTCATAACAGTAGCAAAAAGTTACAAAGTAGCAATAAAAATAATTTTATGGTTGGGGGTCACTACTACATGAGGAACTAACTGTATTAAAGGCTCGAAGCATTAGGAAGGTTGAGAACCACTGGTCTACGCATAAAGCTTACATATAAAAGAAGTAGCACCAGTCAGGTGGTGGTGGCACAGCATTTGATCCCAGCATTCTGTGAGTTCGAGGCCAGCCTGGTCTACAGTTCCAAGATGCCAGAGTTACACAGAGAAACCCTGTCTCAAAACAACAAGCAAACAAACAAAATAATACCAGTCTAGAAGAGAAGTCTGGCTAGCCCTTACATTAAATTCACCAAAGTAGTGTGCCCTAGAATCACTCTCTCCTGCATCATTTCTTTCTTTTTAGTGCAGCATGGAACAGCAGCAGCAGTTATCTAGTCAATGAGGTAGAGAGAAAGCTAAAGTATTCTGGTTGACTAGCCACAGTTTTTGAAGGGTATCTGAGTATTTGAGACAAATTATAGAATGGCTGATCTTAACTTACTTGACATTAAGTTTTCTGACTCAGCAACATATATATGAAGAGTTTTAGAAATGGATTGGGCCAGGCAATGGTAGTACATACCTTTTGCCCCAGCACTCGGGAGGAAGAGGCAGGTGGATCTCTGAGTTCAAGGCCAGCCTGGTCTACAGAGAGTTTCAGGATAGCCAGGACTATATAGAGAAACTCAGTCTTGGAAAAAAAAATGAATGTTTTTGTTGTCACCTTTAAACTTGAGGGTGTGTGTGTGCGCACACACACACATTACTAAAGAAAGATAAGTCATTGAGAAAAAAAATTACAGAAAGATTAAGCACCCCAAACACTAAAGAATTTCATGAATTCAAATAGTTTTAATCATTCTTTAAATGACTTAAACCTTAAAAGACCCAAAACACCAATCACACACACACACACACACACACACACACACACACACACGTCTGCCTATAAAACTCTATCACCGTCAATTCTGATTGAGATATTGTGGTATAGGCAGACATTCAAGAGATGACCAATGGGAGTAGAGTAAGTGAAGAGTTTTCAAGAACTTGTTATAGTATTTCAACTGCACAGCAATCTGTAACTATGCCAAACAGAAAGGCTTATTTTCTTTGTTGCTTTCTTTTTTGAGACAAGGTTTCATTATGTATCCCTGGCTGGCCTGAGTCTATGTAAGCTAGACTAGTCTCGGATTGACGGAGATCTACCTGCCTCTACCTCCTCTGCCTTCCAGATGCAGGAATTAAAGGCATAGGGCACCATGCAGCAAAGTTTTTGAAGGGCAGTTAGTATGTGTGCTTAAAAGTCAGACCTAAATTGCTTAAGTTATACACCTCTTGCTACAAACTCAGCATTCAGGTAGGCTGGACGCTGGCCAAAGGGGTCCTACCGTAAGGCAAACCTCACTTCTGAAGCTGCTGTCAGATTCCTGACCAGAGGACCCTAAGGAAAACCCCACCTGTAAATGAATTTAAAACCAAGGAACAATATTATACTGAAAGGAGGCATTTCTGAGCACCTGCAAGGGAGCAAGGGCCCAGTGAGCCTCCCGTGTCAGAGTGTAAAAGGCAGGCAACTGCGCCTCAGAGGATCCCGCACCCATTCAGCCCCCCGGAAAGCGCACACTAAGCGCGGCTCCGCACCATCCTTGCCCTTTGCGAGGGAGCGGACGCGGGAGCAGATGGTCTCTGGTGGACCGACTTCATGCTCCCTGACCTGGGTGGGGGTTCAGCAGTCAGGCTCGCCGCTCCAACCCCCCGCGCCTGGGCACAGCTCTCACGGAGCGACTTTTACCCAGTTGGAAGGTCTCAACCGGCCTGACGGTTGCGGTGCGGTTCCGGGGAAGCACAAGCCTCGCCTGGAGCCGCCACACACTGGATTCCACTCAGACCTTTTTAGCAGGCAGAGGGGGCGAGGCAGAGCAGAGCAGGGTCGTTAAGCGGGGGGAGGTGGGGGGAGCGCTTGCTGATGACAGGGACCCCCCCTCCCCCCTCCCGCGGGGTAGGCTCCTAAAAGGTGGGGCGAGAAACTCTCTTACCATCCTCAAATGGGGTCCCTTCGGGCCTGCAACACAGAGAAAGAAAAACAAACAAGCGCAAGTCAGCGGCCGCCGAGAGGCTCCCCTTCCTCCCGGGGCGGCGGGGGCGGCGGAGGCGGCGGGGGCGGCTCTGTCAAGGGCTCGCGTCCCTGCCTCCTGGCTGCACCCCGGAAAGCCACCTCGCGCTCCGCTCGGGGTTCGGGAGGCAACGCAGGCCGCCGCCGCCTCAGCCGCCACCACTCCCCACCCCGACCCCCTAGAACCCCAAATGCTCCCCCCCCCCCCCGGCGGCGGCGGGGAAGGGAGCTAATCGAGGCAGAGGCTCCAGGGAGGCGCCTAGGCCCCAACAACCCCGACTCCCTTCCCCTGTCCCCCCCATCCCCCCTCCGCCGCTCGTCGAGGGGGCCGGCGCCGGTCCCTCAGCCCTCAGCAGCGGCCGGGACGCAGACTCACCCAAAAATGACCGCGTTCCAAACCATTATGTTGTTCTCTGATGGAGCCCCGCTCACTCCGGCCGGAGGGTCCTCTTGTAACCTTCAGAAACACACAGCGGCTCCCCTCAGTGCCGCCACTCGCCGCCGGCCCCCCATCACCACACCCCGAGCCGCTCGGCTCCGGGATCCGCCCTGTGCCCCGGCCGGCAGCCCCCTCGCCGCCTTCTCCATGATGGCCAGGGGTTGGGGGGGGGGGGTTACCTCTTGAAGTCCCTCATGAGGCGCCGCCGGGCCGGGGTCGACATGTCTCTAGCGGGGTCAGAGCTGGGGCATAAACCAGGGTCTGCGCTCCCTGAGGAAGCTGAGGGAGCCGAAGCCGCCGAGGGAGCGCCTAGAGGGACAGCGCTGCCTCTCCGAAGCCTAGGGTCGGTCTGGCGCCGGCTAAGCACCACCCCTGAGTAGACGGGGGCTGAACCAACCTGAGGAGAAAGCGAGGGGGGGTGGAACACCTTCCGCTGGACGGGCCGTACCAAGACGCGGGACGGGGGGGGAAGTTGTTATGTCACTCAAACCCGGCCTGAGAGCCCCCCACACACACCCAGTTCACTGGAAAAGGCAACCCTGGGGAGCAAATGGAAGTCTTCAACTCGCGGGGATTTAACCGGGGAACGCTCTGGTTCCACTTGCTGATTTGAAGACGAACCCTGTGAAGTTTTCTTTTTATCTTTACTTACTTTTTTTTATCTTTGTTTTTTTTCCTTTTCTCTTTTGAGGTACGGCCACCAGTAGGCCAGGCTGACCTCGAACTCACGGAGTAGTTGAGGATGACCTTGAACTCCTGACCCTTCTGCTTTCACCTCCCAAATGTTGGGATTACAAGAGTGCACCTGCACCACCGTGCCCGTCTTTATTTCTTATTTTGTTGCTGGCTTCCCCTGATTCCTCCCCCTCCTCTTCTTCCTCCTCCTCCTCTTCCTCCTCCTCCTCCTCTTCCTCCTCCTCCTCCTCTTTTTTCTTACAATACCATCCAATGTAACACTGACTAATTCAGCCTCACCATGAACCCCAGAGGCTGGCCCTTGCAGTCGCCTCAGACTGCCAAGGTCTGTGATGACAGAAATATGCCTTCACCCCTGGCTTCTTTTGTTTGGACAAGGAATAATTTATTATAGGGTGGAGGAAAGCGGAGAGGAGAAGTTGAAAGAGAAGAGCAGAGGGAAGAGCTGGCAGAGGGAAACCCATTCTCAAAAGCACAAATGTTCGGATCACATTCCCACAGCCACAAGAGACTGGTGGTGCAATGATTAAACTAGTGGGCAAAGTAAAAAGAAAGAAAGAAAGAAAGAAAGAAAGAAAGAAAGAAAGAAAGAAGTGGATCTTGACTATGAAAATGGGCTCTGGGTCCCTTTTCTTTGGGATGAGGGTGCACAATTCAATCCCAACCTTTAAACCTGGGCCTAAATAAAATGGTATTGGGGTGGTGGTGGAAATGACAGCTTCAGGCAGATAGAACAGACGGTTTACAATCGCTCTGGGCACTCACAATTTGTCTCTGGAACCACATTTCTCCTTGACAGTTCAACAAGCCAAGCAGCTAGTCTAGAGGATTCCCGGGGATGAGATTGTCCAGCTGCAGGGCCTTGGAAGGACAGAAGATCACAAGGAAAGGAACGGTAGGGCGCGCGTGGAAAAGCTGCACGTTGCGGGGAGGACTCACGGGTAGGTTAAGGACCTGTGAAAGCAATCACAGTTTGAAAGAAGCAGTTTAAAAGATCAATCCAAAAAAAAATCACTTAGTTGGCACAGACAAGATACGCATTTAAGAAGGATGGTGACTATAGGAAAGGCGGGTTTGTGTTAAATCCCGGGGAGCTTTGAATGCCAAGCTAATGGGATCCTCGGAAGGTAGAAGGAAGAGCAGGGAAGTGGCGCCCTTAGAGCTGTGCTAATCAGAATTTGCTCCCAAGAGCAGCTGCGGGGTTCTTGTTGGGGAGAGATATCAGCATGCTCACCATCCAGGGCCAAGTGCATTCTTTACCATGGAACCTTCTATGGCATCAAAGTTTTCAATAGAGACTCTCTCCCGTTAAATCCTGCTCACAGTTTGAATCTCTCTCTCTCTCTCTCTCTCTCTCTCTCTCTCTCTCTCTCTCCAGTCTTCTATAGCCACCAGAGAAAAGGCGGGGGTGAATGAAGAGCACTTGGCACTAGATTGAATGTGGTGGCAAGAAGTCAAAAGTGCCTGAAGCTTTAAGCCCCGAGATAAGTGGAGATCTGAAGTGGCCATTAACAGAGCTGGGTATAAAGGGTGAAGGACACATTTGGGAGAGGCAATGTTGAGTGGGACTTGCCGAGCTCCTGGGACTGATGAGCCATCCCTGTGAAGATGGTCAGAAAACATCAGACGCTCAGCAAAATTTGTTTTTCTCACAGGAGGCAGGAAGCACACGTCAACAGTAATGATCTTGCTAGGTGCTTAAGGACAAGTGCCTTCGCGGCCAGCCATGGTTAGCTCTCCTTACCTCCAGCATAGCAGTTAATAAAGCAAGTTCCCACCACAGCTCCGTGCCATGGCTGTGGCGGGGAAAGGTTCCAAAACCAAATTTCAAAAAGTCCTTTCCCCTCATCTAGGAACTTAAAGTCTTCTACTTCATACTTAGGGGGGAAAAAAGCAAGCAAGGCTTGCGAACAAGAGCATTGGCCCTCTTTCGCTGCTTAGATGATTGTCATGAACTAACTGCAGGCCAACTCCTGGGGTTATAGTGTTGAGGGCCCTATTTTATTATTGACTGCTAAGGTGGGACCGCTGCCAGCGACCACCCCCATTCTTTGCTATGTGACCTGTTCTCCATTTAGGCACAAACACTATTTCTACTTCGTTTGCTCCTTCTCACATTTTGAACATTTTTCTTCGGGGAGAACCGAGTGTACTTTCTTTACCTTGTCTGATTAGGTCAGACCCAACCTTGATGATCTCTATATTTTAAAAATCCTCAGGCATGCTGTAGTGGCACCCACCTTTAATCCCAACACTTTGGAAGCCGAGGCAGGTGGATCTCTGTGAGTTTGAAGGCAGCCTGGTCTACAGAACAAGTTCCAGGACAGGCTCCAAAGCTACACAGAGAAACCCTGTCTTGGGAAAACCAAAAATAAAATTAAAATTAAAAACCTCTAGCTTCAGGTTGTAGTTACTCTTTTCAGGGGACTGGAGTATTCTAACTCAGTAGCTGAGGGCTTGCTTAGCATATGTGAGACTGTCTGTCCCACCCCCAGTACCTAAATAAGTAAAATTTGGTCAATTTCTTCACTGTCAACTCTAGTTTAAATGTTTGGCTTAATAGCCAGACAAAGATATGTGGGTTCAACAAGGACCACGTGCCTTTGTAAAGGGCGGCATTAGACAACCCCACCATCCACAGCAAGAGTGGGATCTCTAGTGGGAGTTTGGGAAGCCCTCCGGGCAGAGAAGTTACTCCACTTAAGGACCATTAGTCTAGTGGGCTCAAGACAAGGTTCCTCAAACAACTTTTTGTTGTAAAAGAGGCAAACTCCAAATGGTTTATGTTTATCTGAGGATGCCAACACAAGCAAGTGCATGCAGCAAATCTATATTCTGGAGCAGCGGGCAGGCTGGCTTGGTTAGAGGAGGAGGTTCCTATGTACCTTTTGTTGTTTGCAGCAGGAGGTGAGACCAGGTCTTACCCTATAGCCCAGGTTGTCCTTGAAATCACTGTTACCCAGCCTCGGCTGGTGCCAGGCTCGTGGCAATCTTTGCCTTTTAACCTCTTGGGCGCTGAGATGACAGGTGTGAACCATCGCAGCAGCCAGCGAGGGAGAGGTTCTCCACAGAGAAATAATGAAGTGAAGCCTCAGCTGGGAAAATCAAGAGTGGCAAGGTTGATTAAATGCAAACTTTTGTGAGAGGTTGAGCCCAAGAGAGAAAGAGGTATAGAGTATATCCTATTGAGAAACCCCATGCAAGCTGGCCATGATGGATAGTGCCTATGAATGCAGCATTGGGGAGGCTGCTGCAGGAGGAGTGCAAGTTCAAGGCCAACCTGGGAGGGGGAAGGGGGAATAGGAGAAAGCAGAAGGAGAGAGGGGGAAAGCTAGGGAGCTCTCCTGGTGGATCTGTGAAATGGTAGTTTTATTGACTGGAGATAAGTGTCTGAAAGTATTAGAAGATACAGTCGACATGTTTACATTTCCTGTGGGCTTGTCTATTTTTCTTCCTTCACTTCCTTTCTTGGACTATATAATCAAGACAACTCAAGGGCCTGAACTAAATTAGCTTGCAAGCCCAAGACACCTGTCTGGGAATAGTGTCCTCTGACTGAGGAATGGAATTGCATCCTGGGGACATTGTGTCCGCCACACTCCCCATCCAAGCTACGTTGTCACAGCAAGTGGTAACATGGAATGTTTCCCAGCACAGATGAGTAGCAGTCTAGGCCATTGTATCCATAGCACAGTTAGCCAAGCACTCTTTCACCCCCGCCTCACCTGGACATCTTGGAGAAATGACCTCCTCACAGCCGAGGGCTCAACTCTCCCTGAGAGCAGGTCATTCCGTCACTCTCGTGAACGGAACCATCGGCAGCTCCCTGACTCTATCAGAGAAGAAAACAGTGTTTCTGATTTGCCCTGCCAGCTGCCCTTCTACAGTTTAGCAGTTGAAATTTCCTTGAGCTCAGGACGAGACGCACCACCCTCCGCATCTGCTTAAGAACACCCAATGGTTCTAAAAATTATCTTCTGCTATATACTTGATAAATGATTGTTTATGATGTTTGTGTCTTCATTTTTTTAACATTTTTTCAGTGTGTATATGTGTGTGTGTCTGCAGTAGCATGGCTGAGATGTGTTGGGAGGGAGGAGAATTTGGGGGACTGAGGGATGACTATGATCAAAATACATTGGATATGTATGTGTATAATATTCTCAAGGAATAAATAAAAATATTACTTAACTGTTTTTAAAAGGTTTGCATTCTTCTATAAATTTTCAGTGGATCTATTTCCCAAGCCCAGATTTCAGTTCCAACAGCATTTTTCCAGGTCATAATGCAAGTGCAAAAACCTCTGTATTTCAAAATTTAATGTAACCGTACAGTTCAGGAACTTCTGTTCAAACTTGTACTGAAGGTTATTAACCTACAATGCAGAGGCATGCTGCGAAGTGAATGTCTTTGATTCTCTACCCTGAAGAAAAAAATGAACACCAAAACATATATGAAGGCCGGAGAGATAGCTCAGTACTTGAGAGCCCTGGGGGTTCTTGCAGAGGCCCCTGAGTTCAATTCCCAACACCCACAAGGCAACTTACAACCTTTAGGGTGGTCTGACTCGGCCATCAAAGGCTGGGCTCCAGAACAAAAATATAAAAAGATAATGATTCTCTAAGATTTTCATTAATATTTTTCTTATGCTTAGGGCTAGGTGTGTAACAAGAGTACTTTCCTAACATGCACAAAGCTCTGGGCTCCTAGAGACCCAACAGAACCAGAACCAAAAGGATGGATGGTCTTGGGTTTTTTTTTTCTGCTTTTCAAGACAGGGTTTTTTCTGAAGCTTTGAAGCCTGTCCTGGAACTAGCTCTATGTAGACCAGGCTGGCCTCGAACTCACAAAGATCCACCTGCCTCTGCCTCCCGAGTGCTGGGATTAAAGGCGTGCGCCACCACGGCCCAGCTGGATGGTCTTGTTTTGTGTGTGGTACTTTCCTGCGTTCCCAGCACTGGGGAGGCTGAAGCAGAGGAGTTTTGAGTGCTAAGCTAACATGAGCTAGACAGGGAGCTTGCTGCCAAGCCTGTCAATCTGAGTTATATTCCTGGGTCCTATCTAGTAGAAAGTGCATGCGCGCACACACACCCACCAAACACACACACACACACACACACACACACACACACACACACACACATATATATATTTAATTTAAAATTGGAGACTGGAGAGGTCATAGGTCCAGGGCGCCTGTCTAATTGCGGTCTACATGTTTCTGTTTCTGCCGTAGAGTAAGGCTGCTGTCTGCTTTGGTCGGCGAAGCTTCTTTTTGCTGTGGGTAGTGACTACTGCAGAGACTCATACATAATCCAGATGCTGAAGGTAAGAGTATTCATGTTGGCGGCCCAGTCCCAAAAGGAACATCTAAACCACCCACTTCAGAACTGTGGAAACATCCCCAAAGAGGGGTTAGGAATATAAGAGTTGAAAGAAGGGTTGGGGGCGATTGGCCTGCTGTTTTCTGGGCACATTTAGCATGCTTTTGAACTCCCGGAAGCTGTGGTTATTTGCACAAGATTGGGCCCCTCATCACCCTGTCATGGAGTGGGAAGGGACTTACGAGACCGCACACTTTCTTGAGGACATGTAGGCGGGTAATGGCTGCTGAAAGAGAGGCCTTTTGTTCGGTGATATAGCCACTGTCAGTTGCCCATACTCTTGTAAATAACCCCTCAAACACACTCCTGGAACTCTGGGAAGAAGGAGAGCTCCAGTGGAAGTGGGAGAGGGACAAGATGGAGGAATGTGAACCAAGACACATTAAATACATATATGAAAATGTTACAGTGAAATCTGTAATTAAACATAATTAATGTATGTTAATAAAGTTAAAAATAATTTTTGTTATGTGCATTAGCGTGTTGCCTGCATTTATACCTGTGCACCATATGTGTGCCTAGTGCCCCTGGAAGCCAGAGAGGGGGTTAGAGCTCCGAAAATGGGAGTTACTGATGGTTATGTGGGTTCTAGGAATCAAACCCTGGTCATCTGGAATTGCAGCCACTGACCCATCTCTTCGCAGACACACACCCCGATAAGCTTGTGAAAAGAAGAGTCTTACATTTTAAATAATACATCTTCATGGAAGGGCTGGTAAATGGCTTTTTAAATTCCAGTTGGTGTATATCTTGTTTTCCTCTGGTCACAAAACCCTGAAGTCTTCAGTCAGATCTCTCTTTAAAATAAAATATTTTAGTACTGATACTTGAATTATTGAAGTTATGCAATATGAATTGTCTTGATGTGTTTCCCCAGGTGTCTACCCTCCAGAAAGAGAATGTTGGGAAGCCTTCTGGGTTAAAGAAGGAAGGATGAAAGATGGTCCCTTACACATAGGACAAACAAGACAAGCAAGATTTCTCTAATCACAAATCATTTACATGATTATGACTACATGATTAAGGCTTGGTATCCAAAACATGTCAAGAACCCTGGAACTCAACGATAGAATCCTTGCCCCAAATTCATGAGGACCTGGGTTTGCTCTCCAGCACTGCAGGAACTCTTCCAAGTCAATAATAAATTGACTAATTGCTGGGCGGTGGTGGCGCACACCTTTAATCCCAGCACTCAGGATGCAGAGGCAGGCGGATCTCTGTGAGTTCGAGGCCAGCCTGGTCTACAAGAGCTAGTTCCAGGACAGGAACCAAAAGCTACGGAGAAACCCTGTCTCGAAAATCCAAAAATAAAATAAAATAAAAAATAAATAAATAAATTGACTAATTAAAAGTGGGCAAAGGATGTGAGTTGACATTCATCCAAAGAAGATATACAAGTGACCAATCAGTGTATGAAAAAAAGTGCTCAACATCATTAGTTATCAGGAAAATGCAAATCAAAATCACAATGAAACACTGCTTCATAGCGACCAGGATGGCAATAAGAAAAAAAAGACTGACAATGGAGGCTAGAGAGATAGCTAAGCTGTTAAGGGCCCTTACTGCTCTTGCCAAGGAGCCCAGTTTGATCCCCAACATCCATCCATCTCAGGCAATTCACAACTGCTGGTAACTCCAGCTGAAGGGCAGGGCATTGGATGCACCCTTCTGGCTTCCATAGGCATCCACATGCACACATGCACATGAAGAAATAATAACAATAAGTGACAGAAAGCAATAATTCTTGGCAAGGCTGGAGAAGAGTAAAAACCATTGTACACTGCTGATAGCAATGTAAAATTGTGCACTCCTTGAAAAACTCTGGTAGGTTCTATAAGATTAAATATAGACTTGCTCCTGATGTAGCCATTTCACTACTAAGTCTATAACTGAAAGAGTTGAAAATAACCATCTTGAATATGACCTGTACACGCACATGACCATTGCAACTTGTATGTGAATATCCACCGCAGCTTTATCTATAAAAGCCAAAAAAGTGGAAACAGGGTAAAACCAGTCATGCTAGGATAAACAAAAAATAGTATACCCATACAATGAGATATTATTCAACTATAAAAAGGAATTACTTTTTACAAAATGGAAAGGGGGCAGGTAATGACTAATAAAAAGTATGAGATTTCCTTTTGATACGTTCTGGAATTAGATAAGGGCATTGGTTGCACAGTTTTGACTAAACTATTACCAAATTGAATTTTTTTTTTCTGAGACAGAGTCTCACTGTGTAGACTTGGTTGGCCTGAAACCCAGCAAGGTCCACCTTCCTTTGCCTTTTAAGTATTGGGATTGAGGGCTGGAGAGATGGCTCAGCGGTTAAGAACACTGACTATTCTTCCAGAGGTCCTGAGTTCAATTCCCAGCAACCACATGGTGGCTCACAACCATCGACAATGAGATCTGGTGCCCTCTTCTGGGGTGCAGGTATGCACACAGGTAGAACACTGTATACATAATTAATAAATAAATCTTTAAAAAAAAGTATTGGGATTGAAGACCTGCAACCATGACTGCCTATTAATACACTTTCAAAAAATGGATTACATATTATTTGAATTTAGTATTTTTAAATTATTCTCTCTGTTTGTCTATCTCTGTCTCTGACTCTCTGTCTCTGTCTCTCTCTGTCTCTCTCTCTCTCTCTCTCTCTCTGTGTGTGTGTGTGTGTGTGTGTGTGTGTGTGTGCACCACAAGTCAGATGACAACTTAATAGAGTTAGATTGTTCTTGCCTTCCATCATGTGGGGCCTGGAGATGGAATTTAGTTCATCAGGCTTTGTGGCAGGCCACTGAGCTCCTTCAGTGCCCACGTTGATTTTTTTTTAAGAATTTAAATTGTATCTTTTTAAATAAAGAAGCTTCAGCTGGTCACCTGGATACATGCTTGCAATCTCAGCATACAGGACACAGAGGGAAGAGGGTTATGAGTTCAAGGCTACCTCAACTAGATAATGAAACACTTCATTAGATAAAAAGAAATGAAGGAAAGAGGGAAGGAAGGAAGGAAAGAAGGAAGAAAGGAAGGAAGGAAGGAAGGGGGAAGGGAAAGAAAGGGAAAGGAAGGAGGAAGTAAGAGGAAAGGAAGGAGGAAGGAAGAGGAAAGGAAAGAAGGAAGGAAGGGGTAGGGAAAGGAAGGAAGAGAAGGAAAGGAAAGAAAGGAAGGACAGAGGAAGGTGGAGAGATAGCTGAGCAGTTAAGAGTGTTGGCTGCTCTTCCTGAGAACTCTGGTTCTATTGGACACACATGACAACTCATAACCTTATGTAATGCCAGTTCCAGAGGCTCCAAAGCCTTCCTATGCAGGCAAAGCACTCGTACACATAAAATAAAAATGTATAAATTTTAAAAACTAAATTAAAGAAACAAAGAAGAAATAGGGCTGGAGGATAGCTCAGAGATAGAATGCTTGTCTGGTATGTGCAACGTCCTAGGTTTAATTCCCAGTACAGCCGAAAAAAAGTTTCTACTTCATTAGATACTCATTCTGAATATTGTCAATAAAATAAAAATATTTACAGGTACATCTAGAATCTAGGGTGTGTTGTCTGTGTGTGTGTGTGTGTGTGTGTGTGTATGATGTATAGTCCTTTATTATGTCAGGTTTTGCATAAATTCATGGATATTTATGGATCAGAGAAATGGCTCTCTAGGTAAAAGTGCTTAAGACCTGAGCTGTATCTTTTGAGATCCACAAAGTGGAAAGAAAGAATAGAAATCAGAAAGTTGTTTTCTGACCTCAACACATACACACTAGTGCGCTAACAAATAAAACAAGATAAATATTGATGATTGTATAGAAATCAAAATAATTTAAATAATAGTGAGCGGGTCGACAACTAAAGCTGTTCCAACTAACTGCCTAGGCAGAGAAGCATCTGTCAACAACCCTACCCCGCCTCCCCCTGCATCGTAGCCAGATGGGACGTTCCGGAAGTTAATCAGGCCGGCACCAGCACGTGACCAGGGAGAAGCCAGGTCCTACACGTGCGTCTGTGACGCCATCTCGGCGCGACCCTTCATTTCCTTAGAGTTCTCTGGCTGCTCCCCTTGAGCTATGCCGAAAGTCGTTTCCCGGTCGGTGGTCTGCTCTGACACCCGGGATCGCGAGGAATATGATGACGGCGAGAAGCCCCTCCATGTCTACTACTGTTTGTGCGGCCAGATGGTCCTGGTGCTGGGTGAGTGGCGGGAAACTGCTGCAGCGAGACGTAGGGCTTTTTTTTTTTTTTGGAGACAAGATCGCATTAAGTTGCTCAGGTCGAACTTGAATTCACTATGTAGTTTAGAACGGCCTCGAACTTGCCCGCGATCCTCCTGCATTACAGGCGCGCACCACCACTCTAGGCTCAGGATATTTTTAAGTGGTTCTAAGCGGCGAAATCTTTCTTCATTCCTTTAGATTGTCAATTAGAGAAATTGCCAATGAGGCCTCGGGACCGGTCTCGCGTGATTGATGCTGCCAAACACGCTCATAAGTTTTGTAACACCGAAGATGAGGAGACTACCTATCTTCGGAGGTAAGGGCTTAATGCTCTATTTCCCTGCTGTGTTGAGGTCAGTTTGTGAAGAATGTAAATTATTCTGTGTAGTATTAATCAGCTCACATAGTTAGGTCTGATACTTTGACATTTGTGCTAGTAGTCTAACTTATGATAATGCAGCAAATTCTTTCTTGTACTCTGTTAAAATGGTACTGAAACTTGATTCTCTTGGCATTTGGTAGCTGTGATGTTCCAATTACAGGTTTGAATGAGTTTGTACAGCCTGCAACTTTAGTTGTTGTTATCGGTATTATTTGCAGGGCTGGTGAAGGAGCCAAGGGCCTTAGTCTTCCAGGATGAGCACTCTCCCACAGAGTTAACATCCCCAGTCTATAAGCTTATGCATGGCCTGTACCAGGTACTGAGCTAGGTACCAGGTCTTGAATGAATAAAGCACAGTCTATATTAAAGATGTCAGTGAGGAAATTACCATACGGTAGAAGAAGAAAACTAAGTACCAGAAGCTGCCTTCTAACCTCCGGATAGGCAGGCCATGGCAGCTCCATCCATGCCCACAACAGACAATACAAAAAAAACCCCAAAAATTTAAAAGAAACAAACAACAAAACGCCAGGCCTGGTGGCACATGCTTTTAATCCCAGAACTTGAGAAACAAAAGTAGACAGATCTCTATGAGCGCCAGTCCAACCTGGTCTATGTTGTGAACTTCAGGTCAGCCTAGTCTACATAGTAAGACCCCCATCTCTCTATGTGTTCCATATACACATATGCACACTTACACATACACAGAGATGCTAGGTGAGAAGGGATAAGTCAAAAGCCTGGTCTACAAGAGCTAGTTCCAGGACAGGCTCCAAAACCACAGAGAAACCCTGTCAGCTGACAATTCTCAAAACTTCAGCCTCCAAATCTGAGCCTATTAATTTTGGTTGCTTAAAGCTACCCAGATTGTGGCATTTTACTATAGCAGTTTTAGCATGCTAATACACCAGTGTATTCCAAATGTCTTAAGTGCCCAGCATACAACAGGAGCTCAGAAAATGAAATATTTGCTGATTGAGTGAGTGGACTTTATTCTGGGGGACAGATATTCTGTGGTATTGGACACCTGGCGATGACCACTTTTATCTTCTTCTTCTTCTTCTTTTTTTTTTTTGTTTTTTCGAGACAGGGTTTCTCTGTGGTTTTGGAGCCTGTCCTGGAACTAGCTCTTGTAGACCAGGCTGGTCTCGAACTCACAGAGATCCGCCTGCCTCTGCCTCCCGAGTGCTGGGATTAAAGGCGTGCCCGGCCCACTTTTATCTTCTATACACACCTTAGAACTCTTTCCTTTTTAAAAGTGTGTGAGTGTGTGTTAGTGCTTTACTTGCATATATGTGTGAAGAAGAAGGCATCAGATCCCCTGGAACTGGAGTTACAGACAGTTGTGAGCCACCATGTGAGTGCTGGATATTGAACCCGGGTCCTCCAGAAGAGCAACCAGTGCTTTTACTGCGGAGCCAACTCTCCAGCCCCCTCTTTCCTTTCTTTTAACTCTGTATTATTAGTTTCTCCTGGTTCTGTCCAATTCTTTGTAACTCTTCAGTCCTTCCTTTTTCTCTCTCATCTACTTTCTCATGTATGTATGTATGTATGTATGTATATAAAGGGGCTCATGTAGCCTAGGTTATATGTAGGTGATATGTATGTATGTATGTATATAAAGGGGCTCATGTAGCCTAGGTTATATATAGGTGAAGGCTATGGATCCCAGGGATAGAACGTGGGTCATCAAGTTTGGTGGCAAATGCCTTACTTTTTGAGCCATCTCTCACTCTCGTATGGGTTTTTCCCCAGCAATGCCAGTGTTCCTTGGCTTATCAGTGCATCACTCCATTATCTGCCTGTATCATGTGACTTTTTCTGTGCCTTTTAATTTTTATAAATTTTATTTTCTGTATGTGGATGTTTTGCCGGCATGCATGCTTGTGTATCATTTATGTGCCTGGTGCATACAGAGGCCAGAACAGGAACTGGAGTTGCAGATGGTTGTGAGCTGCCATGTGGATACTGGGAATAGAACCCTAGTCCTCTGGAGGAATAAACAGTGCTCTTGACCTCTGAGCCATCTCTCCAGTCCCTCTTCTCTTATTATTTTAACTTTTTGTTTATTTTCATTTATTTTTCTGACAGTCTCTCTTGTAGCACAGGCCTGGAATAGGAGGATACTTAGCGGAAAATGACCTTAATTCCTGATCCTCCTGCTTGTATCTCTCAAGGGCTCAGATTACATGGTTCACTTTGTGCTTTGTTTTATCTTCCCCCATTATTTAGAAATCTGGTTTTGAAAATTATCAACTAGCTTTAGGATCACTGTAATAATTACATATACTATTTATAGAAAGTTATGCATATAATAGTATTATGTATTATTCAGTTAGTACAGAAAGCAATTGCATTAGTTAGGGATTGTATTGCTGTAAAGAGATACCATGACCATGGCAGCTCTTAGAAAGGAAAGCATTTCTTTGAGGTAGGGGCTTACAGTTTTCGAGGATTAGTTCATTCTCATCATGGCAGAGAGCGTGATGACATGCAGGCAGACATGGTGCTGGAGAAGGAGCTGTTATGTTGATATGCAGGCAACAGGACTATTTCACTGGGTGTAGTTTGAACATAGGAGACCTCAAAGCCCTTCCTCCAACAAGGCCACACCTACTCCAACAAAGCCACACCTAATAGTGCCACTCCCAATGGGGGCCATTTTCTTTCAAACCACCAGCAATTTAATACAACTAGTCTGCAGTCTCCTGTAACATCACAAACCTGGTCAAGAAAACTACTGGGTGCTGGGCGGTGGTGGCGCATGCCTTTAATCCCAGCACTCGGGAGGCAGAGGCAGGCGGATCTCTGTGAGTTCGAGACCAGCCTGGTCTACAAGAGCTAGTTCCAGGACAGGCTCCAAAACCACAGAGATACCCTGTCTCGAAAAACCAAAAAAAAAAAAAAAAAAAAAAAAAGAAAACTACTGGGTGACCCTAGACTGAAATAGAAACCCTGTAATCTGATCAGCCTTACCCTTAGAATGAATCAGCTATAGTACTAACCTTACTTAGTAGCAAGTAGTACCTTATTTAATGGCAGGGCCTAGGCCAGGGACTTGTAGCCAAGCACTCTTGGAGTTCAGAGTTCCTAGTACTTACCAACAAGCAAGTACACTCCCTTTGACATAGTTCGTGGTCTAGTCATGTGCAGCTTTTCCAAGGGCTTACTCTGTGCTCTTTGGCTGGCCAAGGCAGAATTCTAGTCTTTTCTTAGTGTTCCTCTTTTTTGCCAGTTGCTGAGCACACAGCTTTCCCACCTACTTCTTGAGTGAGAATAATAATTTGTGTTTTTTTTCTCTTTTTTTTTTTGACACAGGTTCTCACTATGCAGCCTAATCTGGCCTTCAATTCAATCCTCCTGCTTCAACCTACCATGTGCTGGGTTTACAGGCAAGTGCCACCATACCCAGCTATATCTTTGTTTTTCATTATAGGACTTCTAGGTAACCTGACTTATTGTCTTATAATTGTTCATAGAATAACTTGGCAGTGTTTTTATGTCTATAATATTGGTAGGAAATTTTAGGGTTTTAAGTCCTGATGACATCAGACATTCTATATAGCAGCAATTCCACGAATACACCATGTATATATGGAGTATTTCATTCAAATGAAATCCCACTTTGTATCTGAACTGTGGCTCGAGGACCATCTCTTCATGAAGTTTCTGTGACTCTCTCAGACAGAGTGTGGTGCTACCACCTCTGCTGCTATTATAGATTGCTCCACTTAAGAATTTGGCTTGGCTGGGCAGTGGTGGCACACACCTTTGATCCTCAGGAGGCAAAGGCAGGTAGATCTCAGAGTCTGAGGCCAGCCTGGTCTACAGAGTGAGGTCCAGGACAGCCAGGGCTACACAGAGATACCGTGTCTCGAGAAAAGAAAAGAAAACTTTTAACTTTGTCAACCAGCTGCAGTGACTTACAACTGTTATCCTAGCATGTGGGAGTCTGAAGCAAGAAGATTGCTTTGAGTTTAAGGCCAGCCTGGGCTACATAGGCAAACTCTAGATCATATTGGGCAGCTTCAATAAGATCTTATCTCAGAAAAAGCTTCTTGATGATCAGTTTAGTTTCCTTATTCAGATGAATCCATTTAGTATTGTACATCTTCTCTGTGTACAGTTCTTTTAATTTTATGTGTATGTTATTTTACCTGCATGTCTATTTCTTTACCACATGTGTACCTCACAGAGGTTAGAAGAAGGCATTGGGTCCCTGGAACTGGAGTTACAGACAGTTGTGAACCACCATATGGGTGCTGGGAATTAAAACTAGTTACTTTGGAAGAGCAGTCAGTGCTCTTTACTGCTGAGCCCTCTCTCCAGTCCCTATATCTAGTGTTTTGCTTAGCTCTGGAGATAGAGAGATAAGGCAGAGTCTGTCTGATCTCAGGGAATGGATGATGGAAATGATGAAAAATTAATAAGTAGAAAAAGCAAGTAATTATGATTATTAAAACCATAAGAACAAAACAAAGGATTGGTAGAGAAAGTCACATGAGAACTTGTTTGAAAATGTAATCAGGAATGTGGAAGAGGGAGACTGTATAAGATTCTCTAGAAACCAGTTATGTTCTTAGGTGGTACCAGGGAAGCTACTTCTGCCTCTATTTAGAGAGTGATTTGGAGGAAGAAACTAATGGGAGCAGATTCTAGAATAAGTGGTTGGAATTTTTTATTTCCAGTAGGAATTCAGGTTGAAGAAGTCCTGTCTATGCTCTAACATACATAGCAGACAGTGAGAGCAAAGAGAAAGAAGTTATGACTATAGAAATGTACTGATACTATAGAACAATCTAAGATTTCCACATATTGCAAAACAAAAAATCAAAGGCAATTAAGAAACTGAGAAAGAAATACTTGCAAGATTTATTAATAGTGCAAGTCTTTTTAACGTAAAAGAAAAAAGTGACTCAAAAGATATGAACTAACAGTTCACAAAAATAAAACAAAAACGCACAAGTGGCTGTCACTTTGGTGCAGTTTTGAAAAGGGAATGCAGATTGACAGGTCTCGTTTTCTTTTCCCTATTTCTGAGATGTGTATTTATGTTACCCAGGTAGGTCTCAAACTATGATCCTCCTGCCCCAGCCTACCGAGTAGCCATGATTATAGATAGGTACATGCTATTGCACCCGTGAAGATCTAATTTTTCACATGTGAAATTGGCTGGGATGCACTTAACTACCATACACTGTCAGTGAGGCAGTAGAGAAACAGAACTCTTAGTGCATTGCTGCTAGTGTAAAGTGGTGCAAGTTCTCTAGAGAATGATTTCCGGAGTATGGTTCCTTGACTAAGAATGGCCTCCCATTGGCTTCTTTGAATGCTTGGGTCCCGGTTGGTGGACTGTTGGGAAGGATTAGGAGGTGTGGCCTTGTTGACGGAAGTATGTCACTGGGAATGAGCTTTCACTAACACCAGGCCCAGATTATTTCTAATCCCCTAGCCAATGAAATGCTATTAATACCTCATTGGTTAGGGGATAATGACAAGAAAATATATGCATTTCAGTACTAATACAACTTTGTGCTGTGTGTGTGTGTGTGTGTGTGTGTGTGTGTGTTTTGCATACACATGGGTGCATGGGTGTATATACACATGCATAATCTAGAGCCAAATGCTAGGGTGTCCTCCTCTGTCACTCTGCATTTTATTTCCTTGAGACAGGGTCTCTCACTGAGCCAGAACTTTGCCATTTCAACTAGGCTGGCTGGCCAGTGAGCTATCAACTCCCAGTGCTGGAGTTACAGGCATACATAGCCAAGGCTGGCTTTTTATGTGGATACTGGGGATTCTAACTTGGGTCTTTGTTCTGGCAGAACAAGCACTCTTACTCACTGAGTCATCTCCCCACCCCTGACACAATTTTGTCTAATATTTTCTGTCCATGGTTGGTGGAGTCCACAGATTTCAGAAGCCATGGGCGCAAATTGCTGACTGTATAATTGGTTGCTGCTATATTATTGTGGTTATCATTGTTGATACTACAAGACCAATCACAATTTTAACTATTAATACTACTTACCGTTTCTCTGTTTAGCTAGCATTATTATTAATTGCTCACAACCCTCTTAGTTGCTCAGTACATGCTCGTGAGAGAAGGAATACATGCTGGGGTTATACATTTAATACATGCTTAATCAGCCAGTTGATCTACAAAATGAAGAACTTCTGAACAGCCGGGCAATGGTGGCGCACGCCTTTAATCCCAGCACTAGGGAGGCAGAGGCAGGCGGATCTCTGTGAGTTTGAGACCAGCCTGGTCTACAGAGCTAGTTCCAGGACAGGCTCCAAAGCCACAGAGAAACCCTGTCTCAAAAAACCAAAAAAAAAAAGAACAGAACTTCTGAACTTTTACCATGAGTTATGATAAGTGATGAATGATGGGAAAAAGGAGCTAGGAGGTTAATTGGTTATGAGATTTGCTTGTAAGTTTTCATTTTTTTAACTTCCATTTTTTGTGCAGGCCTGAGGGCATTGAACGTCAATACAGAAAGAAGTGTGCAAAGTAAGTATCAACAGTGTGGGTTTTTCTGAGCATGGGTCAGTAAAAGCATACTGTGTTAGGAAAATAATCTCTTTTTGATCTCGATAATCTCAAAGGCCTTCAAACCAAATGCTAATATGCTTTCCAAAGATGCTAGTTAAATCCACCTCTGATCAGCTGATTATAAAAGTAAGGAAAATGAGGGCCTTTTTTTTCCTCAGAGGCAGGGTCTTGATAGGTAGTTCAGGATAGCTTTGAGCTTTTGCTCCTTTGCCCTAGCCTCCCAAGTACTAGGATTATAGGCATGCAGCACCACACCAGGCAAAAACTTGAGTTTTTAACATAGTATAATTTGAAAGATCAAGATGTAATATGTCTGCATAAAATGTACCCATCTGAATATTCAAGTCGATGAGTTTTGACAGAAAAATACAATAAATTAATGCCACCCCCGTCATGATAGAAAACATTTCCAACACCCTTCACCCTTTTCCCTGGTAGCCCCTGCTTTATGTCATACTGCTTTCACCGTTCCTAACACTTCTGTACAAATACATGTCTTTATACCTGTCTGTCTTTCCCTCTCTTTCCCTCTTCCCTCCTTCCCTCCCTCCCTGTCTCTTTCTTCTCTGCGCATGTCCGTGGCATGGAATACATGTCAGACTCAAAGGACAACTTGCATAAGAGTTTTGCCTTTTTGCATGTGGGTGTTGGGAGTCAAACTCAGGTTTTCCAGCTTCACAGCAGACTCCTTTACCCGCTCAGCCATCTCACTGGCCTCTATACTAGTTTTCCTCAGTTTGTTATTTTAGGGATTCATCCAAGGTGTTATATGTATCTTTTTGTTGTTGGTTTTTTTTTTTGCTTTTTGTTATTTATTTATTTATTAAAGATTTCTGTCTCTTCCCCGATATATGTATCTTTTTAAAATTGTTGACTATCCCATCCTATTAGTTCATTTACTCATTCACAGTGGTTTTTATTTTTGAGCATTCCATTGTATCAGTTTGTTTACCCATTTACAATTAATTTGAGTTGCTTCCAGTGTAGGCTATTATCAGTAAAGTTGCTGTGAGTATTCTAGATAGATTTTATTGTCAATATATATTTTCTTTTGGAATAGAATTGGCTGAGTCATAAAGGAAAATGTGACACAATATAATTTAGTTCCAGGTTTATGTATAAAATCTATTATGTAGACTATAAAACTAAGAATCTTAAAGGATGTTATTTAAAGCAAAACTTTCAGCTTTAGACTATTAATAGTAAGAATATTAGTGAGTTCAAGTTTTGTTATTGTTGTTTTGAGACAGGGTCTCTCTGTGTAGCCCTGGCTATCCAAGAACTTATTATGTAGACCAGGCTAGCCTTAAACTCACCTGCCTCTGCCTCCAGAGTGCTGGGATTAAAGGCCGGCCCCCATGCCTGGCAGTTAAGTTCAATCTTTACATAAGGACAATTGTGTCTTAGTTCTCAAAAGATTCAGAGTAGAGGGTGGGCGGTGGTGGCGCACGCCTTTAATCCCAGCACTCGGGAGGCAGAAGCAGGCGGATCTCTGTGAGTTCGAGGCCAGCCTGGTCTACAGGAACTAGTTCCAAGACAGGAACCAAAAGCTACGGAGAAACCCTGTCTCGAAAAATAAAAAAAAAAAGATTGAAAGTAGGAGCACTGAAGCAGAAGAAAACAAGTAGAAGATAGGAAGGCTTTGAGCTCCTCACCATACTGGATTGATGAGGCTGGTTTTATCATTTCTTGTAGGTCTACTTTTTAGCTCAAAAAGCATAATGGTCAGCCAAAGAAAGTGTCCACTTTCTCTGATGCTGTAAAATGAAACAGCAAAGGGGACAGAATGCCCAAACCAGTGCCAAGACACCTGAGTATAACGGTAGCAGTTTTTTACTACAAAGCCAAAGTAGCATTAGATAGCATTTCCCAAATTTTGTCTAATGTCAAAAATAATCATATGGAATGCCATTGAAAAGAGCAGAGTCTCAAGCCTTACTCACCCCCTACATTTGCCAAACCAGGATCTTATGGGCCAGGCCTAGGAACCTGATCGGAAATTTCAACATGCATCCTAATTGATTCTTGCCCAGTCCGTTAGGGGAAATGAAAACATTTTATGCCACAAACAAAGGTCTTCTGAAAAAGCAAGTCTCCTTTGTAAGTCATGCTTTGGGGAGTAGAACTAGAGCTTTGCAGAGATTCACTCCGCCATTTGCAGGTGTGGGCTTCCGCTCTTCTACCAGTCCCAGCCGAAGAATGCGCCTGTGACGTTCATCGTGGATGGAGCAGTAGTGAAATTTGGTCAAGGCTTTGGGAAAACCAATATATATACTCAGAAGCAAGAGCCTCCTAAGAAGGTAATTATCATCCAAGGGCACAGGCGACTTAATACAGCTACACATTTAGTCCCAGGTTTCATTAGTGCTGGGGATCATACGCAGGACTCGAACATATTATGCAAGACCCACTGAGCTGGAGCACTGCCCCCTAAGCTTTAAAATAAAGCAACTTTCACCTATACATCTATAATATTATTTATTAAGAAAATGCAATTGTTGTATATAGCCAGATATAGAACTATGACATTTATTATTTGCTTCATATGCAGTAATCTTGTAAGGTTACAAATTGTATAATTTTTATTTTCCTCTTTTCAGTTTTTTTTTTAGAGTGGGAACAATTAAATCCTCAATGAATTAGAATGATTTTTAAATATACTTAAAAATCCCTCAATAGTGGAGTGGAGAGATAGCTCAGCCATTAAAGGCTACCCTCACAACCAAAAATATAAGAGTTCGGTTCCCAGCACCCACAGCTGTCTCTCCAGCCACCTTTTGCCAGGTAGTGGTGGCACACACCTTTAATCCCATCAATCGGGAGGGAAGGCAGAAGCAAGCGAATCTCTGAATTCGTTTTTAGCCTGGTCTATAGAGTGAGTTCCAGGACAGCCAGGGCTAGACAGGAACTGTCTCAAAAAAAAAAAACTCAAAAGGAAATGCTTGAAAACGCTGACATTTAGATAGTTAGCCTGCCCTGTCCCTAAGAGGCAAGTATTCTCACACCGTGCCTGTACACAGGCACGCAAATGCATGTGCTTACATGGCTCATGGATCCTTGTGAGGTGACCTTAGCTTGATTAGCTTGATACCTCTTCCTTCTCTTCTAGGTGATGATGACCAAACGGACTAAAGACATGGGCAAGTTCAGCTCTGTTACTGTGTCTACCATTGATGAGGAAGAAGAAGAGATAGAGGCTGTAAGTGCTTCGGCTTTCATGGGAATTGGAATTGGGGGGCGGGGGAGTAAGGGGACTTAAGTCAGAGCCTCTGCGGAGCAGAACAATTGGCAGCCTTGCTTTCACACCCTGCTCCACTAGTAAGAAACTCATTGCTATTGGGAGTACCTGTTTCCCTGAATGGGAGGGACATCTGCTATAAAATGAGAACAAAGAATGTGGATCCTCTCATCACTTTTTAATTTTAAAACTACTGAACTGGATTCAGATCTGACAGTTTACGCCTATAATCCCAGTACTCTGGAGGTTTAGATGGGAGCATCTTACATTCAGGGTCTGCATGTTCCTATCTCAAAAACAAACCAATAAAAATAAGGTACTGGACTGAATAATTTTCAGTCCCTCCCAGGCAGGCTCTAATGGTTTGAGTCTGTCCTTAGCAGTAACAGCAGTTACTTTTCTGGTATTTCAAGCCAAGTGTTTTTTATGGAGGGATGTTATCAAATGATCACCATGGAAACCTGAAGTCTCCGGGGTTATTGAGAAAATGAAGAATTGGAAGTGTAGGGAGGCCTGCTGTTTGAGTTCCAATTTATGGGCTTGAGTAGTACAAATAACGCCTGAGGTCTTGATTGTAGTTCCTGGTAAGTGCGCTGGTCTGAAGGCCCTTCATTTTCCCTATAGAGGGAAGTTGCCGACTCCTATGCACAGAATGCCAAAGTGATTGAAAAACAGCTGGAGCGCAAAGGCATGAGCAAGAGGCGACTGCAAGAGCTGGTGAGTGGCATGGGGAAAGGCGCAGGCCTCCTGGCTTGGATTTCTTGCTTTGAATGATTTGCAAAGGCTCTTGGAAGTTACTAGTATAGTTGGCTGCCAGCTTCCTCACACCAGGCTCTGTCTGTGTTGGTAAATAGTGACTGGGGTCTAGCACTAAATTAGAAATCTTGTTTGCCAGGCCTAACTTGAGTGATGGTTAAACCTGCTACTTTCTCTCTAGGGTCAGGATTAAGGGCCAGGTTTTTTAGTGCTTTCCAGTACATGATGGCATACAGTTCTGCTACCTCAGTAAACCCAAATTGATGGCATACAGTTCTGCTACCTCAGTAAACCCAAATTGATGGCATACAGTTCTGCTACCTCAGTTTACCCAAATTGATGGCATACAGTTCTGCTACCCAGTATACCCAAATTGATGGCATACAGTTCTGCTACCTCAGTATACCCAAATTGATGGCATATAGTTCTGCTACCTCAGTTTACCCAAATTGATGGCATACAGTTCTACTACCTCAGTTTACCCAAATTGATGGCATAAGTGCTGCTACCTCAGTTTACCCAAATTGATGGCATACAGTTCTACTACCTCAGTTTACCCAAATTGGGACTTTGATTGCTTTTAAAGCACTGCTAGTTTTCTTCTTTATCCGTGGGATTAACTTGGAGCATGATATCTCTATATAGGGTGGGACCTACATTTTTCAATTTTTTAGCATATTTAGTGAGTTTCTTCATGGCATTTCATAAGAAGTGTCTCATTATCTTTGTTCTCATTCTTTCCCTACCCTATACTCTCCCTACCCCACAGCCTCCCCCTGTCCCTACCCCACAGCCTTCCCATGCTCCTACTCCACAGACTCCCCATACTCCTACCCCACAGCCTTCCCATGTCCCTACCCCCTCTGGTTGGTCTCCTTACTTCTTTGCATAGTATCCCTCCTCTGCTTTTTTTGTTTTCATTCTCTCTGGTTTTTTTTTTTCAAGACAGGATTAGTCCAGGCTGACCTGACAGTTGCTATGTAAGCTGGCTTTGAACTCCTCCTGATCCTCCTCCCTCTAGCTCCCTAGTTCATGGATTACAGGTCTCCATTCTGCTTGTCCTTCTGGTTTCTTAGCACACATATCCCTCCTTCCCCTTGATGATCTACACACACATACACATGTAATTTTATATCTAGCTTTCATGAGCCAGAGTTTTGAATTGATGGATAAGGATTGTAAAACCACAGTTGGCTTATACACTAAGCAGTTAAGGGCAAGTGGGACAACTAGAATAAAGAAGAAATGTTAAGAATTTCATGTGATTGTGATGTATCAGGGCATACTTTTTTTTCTTTCCAGGCTGAATTGGAAGCCAAGAAAGCAAAAATGAAAGGGACTCTGATCGACAACCAGTTCAAATAATTCAGATCTTTCTGAGTTGAGACTGGAGGCCGGCACTTAAATCAAGACGAAAAAGCTTCTTGATTTCATGGTCTCGTTTCTATGTCCCAGGAAGAATCTTTCTGACCATCCCATTGAGTTTCCTGCATTGCTGTTCTTGTCTTTCACTAAAATCCTTGACCCCATTTCACTTGCTTTCTAGGAGGTAGATTGTTTTCAAATCTTTGTATAAGTAAGTTTTCTGTCTTGTCTTTGAGACAAGTTCCTGGTACACACTGGAGGATGGCCCTGAACCTATAATCCTCCTATCTTAGCCCTCCAGTGCTGTAACTGCAGGAATGCACCACCGTGCCTGGCTTCCCTGTCAGTCCTCTTCTGTCATATCTTTAGGGCTAGATAAGTCTCTAGTTTCTAAGGTTGATGGTTTGGTGGTTTGTTTTTTTTTTTTCCGAGACAGGGTTTCTCCATAGCTTTTGGTTCCTGTTTTGGAACTAGCTCTTGTAGACCAGGCTGGTCTTGAACTCACAGAGATCCGCCTGCCTCTGCCTCCCGAGTGCTGGGATTAAAGGCGTGTGCCACCACCGCCTGGCAGGTTGATGGTTTTTTATTTCTTCTTCAAAGCTAATAACTGTTTTAAATTTTTTGAAAAAAATAATGGTATGAGAGGAAAGTTGGAGGAATTAAAATTAATTCCTTCTAATTCTTAAAAGGTGGATCCTTTTAAGAGATTCTGTCTCTGATCTTCGAACTGCCCTTAGAATTAATTAACTAGGGTTTGAATGATTCTCTTGTCGGTAGAAATAGTTAGAAACCCGAATCTGCAGAAATATTTCTTTACTTAAAATAGTAGAGTTATATGTGAGCCATGCCATATGAAACTACAGAATTAAAGAAGGAAAAGCCATGTGGCTGGGGGTGTAGCTCAGTAATGGAGTACATGCTAGGCATGTGTGAGGACATCCCCAGCACCAAAAACAAAACAAGAGAAAGAGCCAGATTGCAGACGCAGGGGTAGGTAGCTCAGGTCTGAATGAAAATATGGCCTTGCTAAGTAACCCAAAGGAGCTAGTCAGTCAGCTGGGAGAATTACTGTGTGAGGACACAGGAGGGGGCGTAGTGAGAGTAGATTGTCTGTTGGGTGTCTTGTTTTCCATTTGCTATTTGCAGAAGCCTGTTTGAAGTGTGTCATTCCTTCAGTGATGTCAGTATCCACGTGGTTCTTCCCATATTCCTATCTGTTTGCCTGTATTGCAAGGCGTGAGGAAACATGGAGTGTGTTGCCCTCCTGGTGTTATCTCTGACCAATTGCACTTTTAAGACTTGTTTGTGAGGTTCTGCCAGGAAGTCATTGTCTTTGCCTTTTCTGATTTCATTACTTGCAGGGAAAAGTAGGCTAGAGTGGAGGTACAGTTGAGCTAGCAAAAACTGGGCCAAAGAGGATTGGGACTGCTGGGAATGCACAGAATGGTACATGTTACCACCTTCCCAGTGACTCCGCAGCCAGTGAATGGGATATGCCTTTGGCTAATTCTTCACCTCCTTTCTTCTCCTAGTTGTGAGACAGAATTAACATTGTATGAATGACCAACTGTGTCCACCAGACAATGACCTCTGCCTTTACTCCACTTTATCCCCAAATTCCTATGTGCACAGCTTGGATATACTTACACCACCTCAGACATTCAGGCTTCTAGTCTCTGGCCACGTGCTAGTCTCACAGACTTACTTCCTTGTAGACCTTTTTAGGTGTGTGTTTAGACTTGAGGGGCGCTTATTTTGTTAGTAATAATGAAACCTAATGGTAATAGCAGCATTAATACTCATTACTCTCCACTGAGTACTTGGTGTGTGTCAGATGCTGTGGAAAGCACTTTAGAGGTATTGGCTCTCTCGGACAATACCTCCTATGATAGTTAACTCTTGTCATCAACTTTTTCAAATGAATACACCTGAATCTCAGACTTCAAGTTCCCCAAGAGCCACTGGCCAGGAATTGGTAAAGCCAAAAATCTGACTTTAAAACTCAAGCTCTACTATGCTGAACTGCTTCTCCTGTGGAATCTTTATTTATATGTATGTATAGTTAGATCAGAACATAATCATTTTGAAAAATCAAGTGACGTGCAATGATTCAGCTAGAGAACCCCCTAAAGCAATTCTGTGGTTATACTTCTACGTATTTTATGAAATATTTGCTGTTAGATAAATGCCAATCATTTCAACTTCTGGCTCAAGTTACAAATTTTGCTTCCTCTATAAGGATATGAAACATTATGTCATTAATATCAAGTGAGTGTGTACATTTCATTTTTCTCTTTTTATTAAAAATTATTGAAACAATATGATGTACTTTCTCTATTAATTTTAATAAAAAGAGCCATATTGAAATTTTGGAAAGTCATACTCTCTTTTCTTTTTGCAAATGATCAACTGTGGCAAAAATATGAAAATGTTATGAAATGTTCTCACTCTAATAGATGGTGGCATTTGTAATTGTGACTGTCATTTAAGAGAATTTGAAAAGCTTTTTAAAGACTAAGCTGTCTTGTTGGGTGTGCTGGCATGTGCATCTAGTTCTAACATTTAGGATCACTTTTGTTCAGGAGTTCAAAACCAACCTGGGCACCAAAGCAAGCAGGACTTTCTCAAAAAATAAAATATAAAATAAAATAATATAAATATTAGAATTGAATAAACTTAACTAGCTTGCTTTGATCATCTTAAGATTCATATTGCCACGGACCATATGTCCTGTGCTTTTCTCGGTTATCTACTGATTTTTATTTAATTTTCCTAGTGATAGATGATGTTGAACATACTGCTTTTATTACAGTTTTTAAAAAGTTTATTAACCATTTTTGTTTTTGAGATGGGGTCTCATGTAGTGGCTGACTCTTATTTTTAATTTTAGATTTTTAATATAGATTTAATTTTTAATTTTAGAATTTTGAAACACAATCCCGTATAACCCAGGCTGACATCAAATTCCCTGTGTACCTGAGGCTGACCTTGAATTCCAGAGCCTTCTGTCTCTACCTCCTGAGTGTTAGGATTAAATGCTTAGTGTCTTTTAGTAGATTTTTAAAGATCTTTTAAATTTTAATTTTTGTATGAGCCTTTTGCCTGCATTATATGTATGTGTATCTCACGTGTGCCTGGTGCCTGCAGAGGTCGGAAGAGGGCATGAGATGCCCTGGAACTGGAGGTCATGGGTGGGTGCTGGGAATGGAAACCAGGTCCTCTACAAGAACAAAAAGTGTTTTTTGTTTGGTTTGGTTTGTTTTTTCAAGACAGGGCCCAACAAAAAGCTGAGGTTTTTTTCCCCCCCAGAGCTGAGGACCAAACCCAGGACCCTGTATTTGCTAGGCAAGCACTCTACCGCTGAGCTAAATGCCCAACCCTGAAAAAAGTGCTATTAATACTAAGCAGTCTCTCTGGCCCCTATCTTTAGAAACAGGCAAACCTGATGGCTGTGGGATTTTTATTCTTTAGCTGCTAGCAGAGATTGAATCTAGTATCTAATGGCTGAAGTTGAAGTGCTCTACCAACTTGAACTCTCGACTTGGGCTGCCAAGTCCAGTTTCTCTAGCCTTAATTTTTTTGTTGTTTGTTTGAGACAGGGTCTCACTTTTAGCTCTGGTTGTCCTAAAATTCACTCACTGTATAGACTAGACTGGCCTCAAACTTAGAGGTCCACCTGCCTCTGCTCCCCCAAGTGCTAGAATTAAGGGCACCTGGGGGAGCAGAGGCACCACATCTGGCCCTCTAGCCATATTTAATTGTGGAGTTCAACAGTGTTAAGCTGCATGATTGTGAATCAAATCTGTAGAACTTTTCAGCTTCTAAATCTGAAACCCGGACACAAAGGGACTCCTAAGCCCTGGTAACCATGATGTTCTTTCTGCTCTGGTGAATCTGTCTGATTTAGATACTTACTGTGTGTGAGATCACATAGCACTTCTTTTTGCGAGGGGCCTACTTCACATGCCGCGAGTCCTCAGTGTTCGTCCAGGTGTGTGCTGAATCGCCTTCCCTTTTAGGGTGTAACAGTTCCCTGCACGTGTATACAGTTTATTCACTCGTGTCAGTAGACCGCTGTTTGGATAACGTTACAGTCACCGTGGCCGTGTAAAAATAACTTTGGGACATCCTAGTTTCGGTTATTTTGGATAAGTGTTCAGAAGTATGGTAGTTTTAGGGTTTTGGGTGGTATGTTTTGTTTTTGTAGTGGGCATTAGGTCTTGCGTCTTCCACATTCTATACAAGTTATTCTATCACTGAACTGTTTCCCTAGCCCTTAAAAAATTTAAATAATTTTTTGAGATGGGGTTTTGCTAGCCCAAGCAGACCTTGAATGCAAGATATTCCTGGGTTTTTTTTTGCCTCCCAACAATTACAGACTTGCACCACCAGCTCTGACTATTGGTAATTTTTGCAGGAGATTCCATTCTGTTTCCCTTAGCTTGTTGGATGTTCTGTTTCAAAATCTCTCAGTCACAAGCCAACAATAAATAAGGACTCAAATTTCTCTGTACCCATATTGAAATTTTATTGTATCGTTTCTGCATTTCTTCGGTGACTGGTGATGTTGAGTATCTTTTCATAGGCATATTGCCTTTTAGATAGCATCTTTACAGAAATGTTTATACAAGAAATGTTTGTCAGTTTGAATTGGTTTCTTTTTTGCAATACACATGTATATGTTAATTTTCCATCTGTATCTTTGGTAAAGTGTGTGTTCAGCTCTTCTACCCATTTTTTTTATTTTTTTTATTTTTTATTTTTTTTTGGTTTTTCGAGGCAGGGTTTCTCTGTAGCTTTGGAGCCTGTCCTGGAACTAGCTCTGTAGACCAGGCTGGTCTCGAACTCCCAGAGTTCCGCCTGCCTCTGCCTCCCGAGTGCTGGGATTAAAGGCGTGCGCCACCACCGCCCGGCTCTACCCATTTTTTTAATGTTGAATTTTTTATGTTTTATTTGTTTGTTTGGTTTTTGTTTTCAAGATAGGGTTTCTCTGTGTAGCTCTGGCTGTCCTGGAACTAGCTCTGTAGACCAGGCTGTCCTCAAACTCAGAGATCCTCCTGTCTCTACCTCATGAGTGCTGGGATTAAAGGAGTGCGCCACCACTGACTGTCTTCTACACATTTTAAACCTGCTTTTTTGAGGTTTTTTTGTTGTTGTTTTGTTTTGTAAATGATTTCTGTTTCCTTTTATTTATGTGTATGTGTGTGTATTGTCACTTGTATGGATCTGCCTGTGGAATTACATATGATTGTGAGCCTCTGTGGGTGCTGGCAACTGAACTTGGGTCCTCAGCCAGAACAAATGCTGTTAACCATTGAGCCATCTCTCCAGCCTTTCTGTTGTGCCTTTCTTGACTCAATCATGAATATCTTCTATACTTCTGAAAATTGTATTTTTGACATTTACATCTGTAGTCGTCTATATTGAAGTAGTTTTGTATAATGCATAAGTTGTATGTCAGTTTATTTTTTTAAAAACATGTCTAGTTTTGACTT